ATTGATGAAGTCTAACTTAGCAGTTGTCTCTTTTGTGGCCCATGCTTTGGTAACATAGCGATGCAATCCCCATCTAACCCAAAGTCACAAAGCCTTTCCTTTTCCTCCTATGTTCTGGAATGTTTTCTATTATCTACTTAACTCCACTGTGATCACAGAACATACTTTGTATGATTTTGAGTCTTGTAAATCTGTTAAGGTTTGTTTTATAATGCAGGATATCTTGATGAAATTTCTGTGTGTTCCTGAAAAAAATGTATATCCTACCACTATTAGGTGCCACGGGTTAAAGACAACTAGGCCCAGTCGGCTGATGGTGTAGTTCAGTTCCACATATTTACCAATTTTCTGTCTATTTGTTCTACCAATTGCTGAGAAAGGACTTCTAAAGACTCCAACTGTAATTGTGAAATTGTCTTTTTATCTTTTCAATTCTATCTGCTTTTCTCCTTCATGTATCTTAGTGTTCTGTTGTTAGCAGCAAAACATTTAGAATTGGTAGGTCTTCCTTGTGAATTGACTCTTTTATCATTATAAAATGTATAAAGTCTTTCTTTGTGCCCATGAGTTTTGGTTTTGTTTTGTTTTGTTTTTTCTGTGAAGTCTACTTTGTCTTAGATTAGTAGAGTCACACCAGCTCTCCTCTGTGTGGTGTTTGCCTGACAGATCATTGCCCATCCTTTTACTTTTAACCAACACCTATCATCTGAAGGGAGTTTTTTACAACATAATTATTGACAGGCTTGGATTTAGATTTACCATTTTGTTCTTTGTTCCATTTTTCCTCTCTGGGTTTTGTTTCTCTATTTCTTCTTCTCTGCTTTCTCTGGGTTTATTTGAACATTTTTTGCTATTCCATTGTAACTTATCCACTGCATTTTTTTTTTTACTGTATCTCTTCGTATAGGTTTTGTAGTGGTCGCTCTTGAAATGACTATATACATAATCAACTTTTCTGATCTAGTTTGGTTTGATATTTTATCACTTTAAGTGGAATGCAGAAACTACCAGTTGTTCCCTTCATCTCCCTTCTGTGTCATAGCTATCCTAGGTTATATCTACATACACTGAAAATTCCATCAGACAACGTTGTATTTTATTGTTTTTAATCATCAAACAAACTTCAAAGAACTCATTGGAGAAGAGTAGTCTATTAAATTTACTGAGATATTTATTATCTCTGTTACTCTTCCTTGATTCTTGATGTTCCCAGTTTCTTCCTGGCATAACTTCCTTTGTGTCTGCAGACTTCCTCTAGCAATTTCCTTAGATCAGGTCTGCTGGTAACAGACTCTTTTCTCTTTCCTTCATCGGAGATTTTTTATTTTGCTCTCATCCCTGAAAATATTTTCACTGGATGTAGAATTCTAGATGAAGAGAGTTCCTGTCTTTCAGCACATGAAAAAATGTTCCAATTTCTTCTGGCTTCCTGGTTTCTGATGAGAAACTGGAGAAATCCGCAGTTACTGGAATCAGGTTTTCCTACAAGAAATGCATCATTTCTCTCTGGATGCTTTCTAGATTTTTCTGTCTTATGTTTTCAGCAGTTTAATTATGACATATCTGAATGTGGTTTGCTTTGGATTTATCTGAGGTTTGAGGTTCACTGGGCTTGTTGAACCTGTAGGTTTCTGACTTTCATCAAATTTGGAAAGTTTTCAGACCATTTTTTCTTATTCTTGTACTTTTTCTCTTTTCTTTCTGGTGCACTGATGACCTTTTGTTATTGTCCCATAGGCCCTTGAGATCTGTTTTTTGTTTTTTTAATCTTTTCTCTCTGTGTCCTGATTAGATCTATCTTCATATTCTGACTCACTTCTGTCATCTCCATTCTACTCTTAAACCCATCTAGTGAGGATTTATTTTTATCTCTGAATTAACAAATTTCCTTTATTTTCCTAAATTTCCTGGATTTTTTTTTTACATCTTCTGTTTCTTTGCTGAGAATTTCTAACTTTTCACCCATTTCAAGAGTGCTCTCCCTTACTTGTTAGAGAATTTTTTAATAACTGCTTTAAAATTTTTGTCCATGTTAGTGAGACATTTACTCTGTTGCCTATCTTTCTCTGTATGGGTCAAGATTTTTCTGGATCTTTCTGTGTGCCAAGTAATTTTGGATTTTATCCGAAACATATTGAGCATTGTTTTCTGAGATTCTGGGTTGTATCTAAATCCTATAAAGAAAGCACTTAGGCCACAAGTTCTAATTAGCCTTATAAGGTTTGTGGTTCTGGTATCAGTTCAGCTTTCAGAGCTGTTATAGTACTATTTGGATCAGTCTCACAGGTATACTACCCAGTGGTCACACTGGGATTTGGATAGTGGTATATCCCATAGTTCAGGTCTCAAAATCTATATATGCTTTTTAGGGTCAAGCCCAGGGTGTTATACCAGAGCTCCATAATCCACATTAAGGGGTTTCCCTCTGGTTTCAGGTTCCTGCAGGTTCCCATTGCTGCTGCTACCACAGTTTTGCTTGAGCTGGGACAATAGAAAATGAAGAAAAGGCCAGAAGAAAAGAAAAACGAGGACTTCTACAATCTCTCTAAATATTGGGAGTTTTCTTTCCTGCTTAAGCCAGAACTCAAGGACTTCTCCTGGACATTTTTGTCTGCATCCTCCTGCCTACTTGCAGATTTGGGGCTGATTGAAGTCAGGGAAATAACAGAGTTGGGGGAAAATAATAAACTCACTCCCAGTTCAGGGGTAATACAAATTCTAGCCTTTTCCCCCAATCCATATGATACTATCGACTTTTCAGAATCCTCAAATAGCAGCCCCATACATTTTGTCTAGGTTTTGGATTCACAGGTCAGAAACCAGAATCTTCTGCAATGTTTTCAAATGGAAGTGATACATGTGATCTTTGATTTTTTTTCTTCACATTTTTCTAATTAAACCATTTAAAATAATAAGAAGACAATGAAATGACTAAAACAGTTGCTTGACCTAGATTTGTTCTTCAGAAGGATGAGTAGCTTTACTGTCTCTGTCTTCACGTAGCATTGACTCAAGATTATTGGATAAGGACTCTAGATAAGCTTTAAGGGGCACTTCAAGGATCTAACAAATAATGCAGTTACTGCTGGGCTCTGTGAGTTTTTACTGGTTGAATAATGCATGGTGATCATGCACCTGGGCTCCAGTCTTCAAGAGGCAAGTCCATCCTGCCCTTGCAACACCGAAACCAACCTTAACGGGATACTAATGGTGCTACTGCAACTGCATGATAGAAGTTATGTTACTCTTTCAGATGTTGAGTACTTCTATGTGCAGACATTGTACCAGATACTTCTCTCACTTTATCTACTTTAGTCCTTACCACAGCCAGAAAGGTAGGTATTATAGTATCATTTAGAGTTGAGAAACCCAAGGCTCAGTAAGATTACAGCACTTGCCAGGTTCCCAGAGCTACTAAGTGGTGAGACCCAATTTGAATCTTATTCCAGTGACTTTATTCTTCCCACACATTACATGCCCCTTGAGGGGAGCATTTATATTTGATTACTCTCTGTAAATCCAAGGCTGTTCACCTAGCAGGACTCCATAAATGAATTCATTAATTTAATAACCAACATTAGCCTCTATCTTGTTGGGTTCTTTTCCTTTTCTTCCAGTCTATTTCCATGTATTTTCCTTTCTCCTTCCCCTGTCTTCCAAAAGGACCCTGAACTCCTCAACAATCTGGCAAGCAACATCTGGTCACTTAAAACACTGCAATGACTGACTAGATTTCCCAGTTCCTGTTCAGATGCAGAGCGTGCTGGAGACACTGTAAGCCCCATCTATGCTTTCCTCTGTGTCTTCTTGCCACAATCAGTGCTGGGCTCTGCAAACAACCAGTACCCCATAATATTGCCAGTTGTTCCAATCCTTGGCCAAACCTTTCTTGTTCTTGGGTGCCTGCTCTTTTGTCGCACCTTCTCTACCTGCCCTGGAGAACATGCAGTCCACTCTCTAGGTTTCTATAAAAGGGATTCTTATATCTGGTGAGAGACTAGATGATGTGGCCTCCGAGGTTGTTTCCATGCTAACATTATGTCCCCTTGTGATTCCAGAAAGTTGCACTGCTGACTGCTGTCTCTTGGGAAGAACAAAGGGACATGTGGCAAAGCTCCTGCTCTGTCATCCAGGAAACACCAAGTGATATGCCTTCTTTGACCTATGAGCCATCCAACCTTAGTAACATACCCTAGGGAGTAGCTCTCAGACATTAAGGTGATTAAGAATTATTTGAAGTGCTTGACAAAAATGCTGATTCCCTCTCCCAGTGAACATATTCTGAATCAGTAAGGGTGCTAGGGCCCAGGTTCTTCAGTTTCCACAAGTGCTCACAGGCAGTTCTGATGGGGGTGGACCACAGCCTACCTTAAGAAATTGTGCACCAAAGAAAACATATTAGTGAGATGTCTTATTTTATCCAACACCTAGACCAGCAAGCACTCGACGTAAATGAGCTGATGGTAATTAATTCTGGACAGAATGATTTTTTTTGCCTAAATGAAGAAACAGACTGTCCATAACAATAACGACAATAGCTGTGATTTGCTGGGGGCTTATTCTAACCCAGCAACAATTCTACATTATCAATTTCATCCTCAAAACTCATCTGGACAAGGGCTACTATCTAAATTTTTAAAAAGACAAAATTGAAATTGGGGGTTAAAGCAAGGCACTGCCAGTATATGGCTAAGCTTGGACTTGAACATGGGTTTATGGGGCCCCAAAAGACAATGCTCATTCTGCACCACCACACTTCCTCCCTTCCTAGTAATTACCTTGGGGGAGAGGAAGAATGATTATTATGTATAAGCTCCGCATGGTATGAGCCTACCTCCCTTAAAATTAGAAAGAAATATGGTCGATCATAAAGGAAAACACCCTACAGTGAGCCCGAGGGAATTGGTGGACTCTTCTACTAAAAGTCTTTAAAGCATAAAGAACTCGGTTGTTAAGCTTCATCCTCCAGAAGGCAGAGAAATGGAAAAGACGACACTCACCCCAAGTCTTTTCAGGCCAAGAATTCCATTAAATCTTGCCCTCCACTAAATACCTGTCTCCATTCTAAAGGACTTGCTGTAGCCAACTTCTCCAGCCTGTAGGTGCAAACATCTGGATGGCAGGTGTTTGATTTTGTAGGTGCCAGAGGACACACAGCTGAGCTGCACAGCTGAGGGGACAGGAGAGGAAATGTTGTGCATTGATGTAGCACCTTTCAACTCTCCCTGAGCCCCCTTCAACAGGGAAGTGATGGGGGTAGGAGGTGACCAGAGGGCCAGCAGCTGTGGAACAGCTGCACAGGGGAGCATTTAAGACTGACTAGAACAGGAAGTGAAACACAGAAGGTCAGTCAGTCTCAGGGAGGGTCTGAGGGAAGTGGAGGGGAGCGGGGCTAAATCTTCCTGCCTGATGATGATGCTCTGGGGAGGGCCTGCTTAAGCTCAGAAACCAAGGACTCCGCTTCTAGTTTTTGGAGGGGAAGAGAAAGAAGGAAGTGGAAAGAGCTTTTCTGTGTGTTTTCATTAAAAACAAAAAGAGTGGGTGCCTGGGTGCCTCAGTGGGTTAAGCATCTGCTTTCCACTCAGGTTGTGATCCCAGGGTCCCAGATCAAGCCCCACATCAAGCTTCCTGCTCAGTAGGGGAGTCTGCTTCTCTTTCTCCCTCTGCAGCTCCCACTCTCCCCCACCTGCTCGTGCTCTCTCTCTCTCTCAATCACTCTCTCTCTCAAATAAATAAAATAAAATTAACAAAAAAAAACAAAAAGAGTCACACAGGCAGCATGTGCTTTCTCCACCATTCCATGCCCTTTCCTAGAACTGGCTGTGGAGTTCAAAGAGCCCACTACCTCACAGGTACAAGGGCATCCGTTGTCACTTTCCTTCAATCCACTTGTACCTCATCTCAGGTCTCTTACCTACCAGGAGGAGCAAAACTAAACAAATCCACTTCCATTCTCCTAAGAGACTTCTCCCCAAAAGGGTGCCAACATTGGAGACAGCCCTCTGGTTCTGGGTAATGGATCTCCCTGGTACTGGCTAAGATGTCCTTGTGCCAGCCTGAAGAGTCCAGTCCCTTTAGGTCCAGTGCCACTGTGCCCCAAGTCCAGCCTCCCTAGTTCCCCCACACCACCATCCCCTCCAAAACCAGCCTCCTCTCCAGGCACCACCAGGACCCCCGAAACTCTGGAGGTGCCTACTGTCTGTCATGCTGCTCCCAAGATATTTGCCTCCTTCCTTTTTCCCTCCTCCTCTAGAACACCAAGAAAATAGACTGGTAGCTTTAAACATACACAAAAGACAGAAACAGACTTTGATTTCAATGTCACTTGTACATTCCATCTTGCAAGAAAAGCACTTTAAAAATATAAAACATGTATAGCCGTTTTATGTGCTAAGTACGTAAGCAGTAAAGCATAAAGTTCTAAGCACTTTATATATGCTAGATCATTAAATTCTCACAAAAATGTTACGAGGTAAGTCCTACTGTTCTCCCACTTTACAGACAAGGAAAATGAGGTACAGTGAGACTGAGTAACTTACCCAAGGTCACACAGGTTGGCAGTGGTGGAATCGGAATTTGAACCCAGGTCATGTCTCTAGAGTCTGTGGTCTGTGATATAAACAATACTCACAAATTACCTCCTTGAAACTAGAGAAGGGAAAAGCAGATTAAAACACATACAAACAAATATTTCGAAATTTGTTTTCCCACAGAAGAGGATAAGTAAGTAAGTTTCCTAGACATCGCTAGATACTCTCCCAGTACCACCACAAGATACCATAGTAGAAGCATAGAAGCTTATCTCTCCTCAAAAGCCACCAGCAAAGAAAAGAACAAAAAAAAAAGAGAGAGAAGAAGAAGAAGAAGAAAGGGAAAAAGAAAGAGAAAAGAAAAGAAAAAGGAAAATCAAGTTCTGCTTCAAAAAATTAACCTGAACTAGATCAGATTTCAAACTACAAGTAACTAATTTGCATTGAGGAGCAGGGTTAAAAGTTTAAACCATCAAAAACAGATTTAAATACAGAGAACAAACAGTTGTCTGCCAGAGGAAGGGGGGGCAGTGTCTGGGCATGAGTAAAAAAGATAAAGGGAGAGAGGGGTTAAACCATCAGTAAAAACAGCAGTTGAGTTCAATTTGAAAAAAAAAAAAAAAAGTAAGTTGCTTTTCTAAAAATCTGAGTTGAGTGATGGTTTTAGCTGGTACATATGTTCTCTATCAACTAGTAAAGTGCAAATGTGTCCTTAAAAAAATAAAAATAAAAATACTTCTCCAGCTGGGAGTAGGGGGTCTACAAAAATTGCAAGTAGAACCATCAGATAGCTATGTAGTTTCAGTAATAAAAAATAAATCTTGTTTCTGTATCGCCATCCCTGATCTCCCTCCTATGTTTCTTACTCATATTTCTTGGCCCTTTGAAGGCAACATGGCACAATCCAAATCCTTTACTCTTCTCTTAAAACTATCCCTACTCCTATATTCTTTAACTTCATGGCAACATCTTTTCAGTCTTCCAAGCCTAAAACCCAAAAGTCAGCCTGTTTGGGGTGCCTAGGTGGCACAGTTGGTTAAGTGTCAGACTCTTGGTCTCTCTCTGTGTGTGTGTGTGTGTGTGTGTGTGTGTGTGTTGTGTGTGTTATGTTAGTCACCATAAACATCATTAGTTTTTGATACAGTGTTCCAAGATTCATTGTTCATGTAAAACACCCAGTGTTCCATGCAGTACATGCCCTCCTTAATACCCACCACCAGGATCACCAGACTCTTTGTCTTGACTCAAGTCCATGTCAGTCTCTGCCCTCAGCACAGTGTCTGCTTAAGTTTTTCTCTCCCTCTCCTTCTGCCCTCCCATCTCTCTCTCTCAAGTAAACAGAGAAATCTTCAAAAAAGAAAAAAAAGTGAACTTGTGTGTTTATTTCTGCATCAGACCCTAGTATCAAATCGGTCTCCAAGAAATTTTCACCCTTCTTTGTAAACACCTTTTCGATTTCATTTCTTCTCCATCCTCAATTCTGCTGTAATGAGTTCCTGTCCTCAATATTCTTACCTAGGCTTTTTCTCACAGCCCAAGCTGCTCTCCTGGACTCCTTCCTCTTCTTTATCAAATCACCACTCTTTCCCACTGTTACTAGTCATCTTATGATAAGCCATTCCTCCCAGGGCTCCCCCAATACCTATCAATCATGTAAGTCATAATCACCATGCTAATAATAGCTGGAATAAGTGGACAGAATAAGCTCAAGTGCCCCCACGGCTTTCAAGGTCCATACAACATGGTCCTAAGCCCACCCTTCCAATTTCACTTTCTGCCTCCTGCGCACCAGAGTCCCTGTGTTACAACCCTCCAGACAGCCACAGTTCATCTAAAATACCTCATTCTTTTCCCTGCTCCATGTCTTTACATGTGCATTTTCCTCTCCCTGGCATTCACTTCTCCCTTTTTCTTTGCCCAAACTATTCCTGCTTGTCTTTAAAGAATCAGTTGCAAGACCACCCCCGCAATGACACATCCCCCACTGACCTAAACAAGTTTAGCGCCTTGTGTAGAACCCCCAAAAATCTGCACTGAAACATAAAGAAACCAATAAAATCAAGTTGGATCTTCTGACTCCAGGCTATGAGTTCCCATGTATTCCTGGTAACTCTTAAGTGCACCTCATACACAGGAGACAACTCAGAATCTTTTCAATGAATCATGGATGCAACATTTTATCAAACCTCATTTTCTTCACATTGGAAGTGAGCAAAGAGTATGTTCAGGAGGACAGAATGCCTAAACTTGAACCCCAGCTTCACTTGCCAGTTTTCTTATCTTGAGCAATGCATTTAACCTCTTCATGCCTGAGTTTCCCCATCTTCAAAATGGGATGCTGCTGGCACAGACTTTCAGAGGCCATAGTGAGCATGAAGTGGACACCACACATAGAAGGCTCTGAGAAGAATGTACAGCAAGCATCACACACCCAAAAAGAATAGTTACTACTATCAGCTTTCTAAATATTGCTTAGGGGACTGTATTAGTAAGATCACTTTCATATGTACATATACACCCCTTGCTTTTCAATGATTTAGAGGGTTTTTTTTTAAGATTTTATTTATTTATTTGACAGACAGAGATCACAAGTAGGCAGAGAGGCAGGCAGAGAGAGAGAGGGAGAAGCAGGCTCCCTGGTGAGCAGAGAGCCTGCTGCAGGGCTCGATCCTAGGACCCTAGGATCACAACCTGAGCCAAAGGCAGAGGCTTTAACCCACTGAGCCACCCAGGTGCCCCTGGTTTGGAGTTTAAAACTAAGCAATACCAAACACAGCTTTCTAACTCATATTTATCAGCATTATTATCTAACTCATATTTATCATTTATCGGCATTTCCAAACTGAGGTAGATAGCATTTCTTCATGAAAACTTTCTTCCTAGCTTCTCTCTGGGACTTGCCTGACAAGGGTATAAACAACATGTCTATACCCTGCCACTTTCCACATTTTTTCCTTTCTGTTCAATGGGTTTGCCACAGCAGGATTTCCCTTTGGATCTAAGAATTTCCTGGGAGGCATGCTCATGTCCTGTGTCCTGGGGCCCAGAGATTCCAACTCAGTAGATGAGAAGTGGTACCCCAGAATTTTATTTCTCCAGCACCCAAACTGATCCTGTTATAAGTGGAACATACCCATGCCCTTGAAAAATACTGCCCTATGAACTCCCATCCAAGACCTAACAGAAAATAGAAAAGCCTGTCAGAATATTCCAGAACAAAAGGAGGAAGTGGTGGCAGTCGCAACAGCTAGAGGCACGTATCTCTTTATCTGCCTTGTTGCCAAGCCCTCTGTCAGCACTCCATAAATAATAATCACCATTATAATAATAGCTGGAATGAGTGGACTTAAACATAAGAAAAATGGAGTCACAGCTGGAATGTGCAGTGGTATAATGACACGGGAGAGGGAAGTTCTGGCTCTGATTAAGGAGAGCCCCACGGAGGCCTCATCACCTCACCAACCACAGGGCAAAAGCAAGCAGTCGTCCTGATGCTGATCCAGATGCGAGAATTCTCATACAGAATCATCCTCACGTGGTATCTGGGACTCCCTGGGTGACCTCCTTGAACCCAGACAGGACTGGTGTCCCTGGGGACCATGTGAAACCAAACTTCTTCACTCCTGCATAAAAAATCCCATCCACCCTGGAAGTCACCCAGTCTCTCCACCAATCTTCAGCTCCATTGCTCCCAATCTCTTGACCAATACTTAGGGTTCCAC